GATAATACTTTACTGTTTGGATTTTTTTGGTTACGATCGTTATTGATAATGTTTTCGGGTCATTGGCTAAGACAAATGTCCTGATGAAGGTGGATCATGACCAATTCCAATTTCGAATCTCCACTTACTTTTTTAATTGTTTCCAACTTTTTTTTATTGAATTGATTTTGCAATTAATTGGAGGGTATTTTTCATGCAGCGGAAGTTTAATTTAAAAAAAAAAAAATGGAAGGATAAAAATAAAAGAGATATATTAATTAATCTGTTGATTCACACAAAATATCTGAAATTAGTAACAAAATTCGTTGATTCACAGAGATTATTTGACTTTGTAGTGATCACTATGCAACATGAAAGTTAGGTCATTCTAGACCGCATCAATATAATTCAATTAGTTTAACGGAAAAAGTAGTTTTTTCTTCCCTTTTGGAGCCTGCAAAAGCCAGTTATCTGGTTACCCTTTTTTTTTTTCCACAAATGTTGAATGATCATGTTTAATATATCTATATACGTTTTTGCATATCAAGCTATTCATTTTCTAATTAAAGATTAGCTTAAGCCTGTTAGATCGCCTAAAACAAGTCAAGCACGTGATGTAGAAGGTGAAGATGTAATAAGTTCCTTGTTTAATATATATATTCAAAGTTTTGAAGACAAGCTTAAACGGTATTCTTAAGATATGTCTAGTACACCGTATTATATTTTATTACATTTTTTTATAGTATTACATTATATTGTATTATATTTCATTTTTATACACTGCTCTAGTTTGTGTCACATTAAATAATATATATATATATATTACATTACACTGTATTTGTTTAGCATCCGAATGTAATGTAATAAGTATTTAACTTTTAAAATGATAAAATTTAGTCATCAATCGTACCTTACTTAAACCCAAACTGTGGCTCGGGTTCGAATTAGGGACCGGAATCAAGAAAACATTAAAAGCTTCTAAGAAGAAATCTCAACAGTTCTGAAAGACCGCACCTGCCCCAGCTAAACCATTCCTTTTAGCAACCTCATTCGTGTTAACTTTAATCCAAGCTGACGGAGGAGCCCTCCAAACTATAGAATAAATCTTAGGAGCTTTCCTAGGCACAACCTCAAGACCAAAAGCTTTGACAACAATAAGCTCTTGAAGGGAGTTTCTCATAACACCAATCTTTAGCCTACCAACCTCAACCACCGCTTGCTTAATCGTCATCCAAAGAAAATAGAAACTAGGAACCACACCATAAAAAATAATCCTATTTCTCAAAGACAAGCATAATCACTTCTAACCAAATGCGCTCTACCCTTTACTCCAAGCCAACCTATTGGCCATAATAATAGTCCATATCTCAGCTTCTATAGCAAGGCACTGTCTAAAGAAAACATTTAAAGCTTCTAAGAAGAAACCTCAACAGTTCTAAAAGACCACACCTGCCCCAGCTAAACCATTCATCTTAGCAACCTCATTCGTGTTAACTTTAATCCAAGCTGACGGAGGAGCCCTCCAAACTACAGAATAGATCTTAGGAGCTTTCCTAGGCACAACCTCAAGAGCAAATGCTTTGACAGCAATAAGCTCTTGAAAGGAGTTTCTCATAACACCAATCTTTAGCCTACCAACCTCAACCAGCGCTTGCTTAATCGTCATCCAAAGAAAACAGAAACTAGGTACCACACCATAAAAAATAACCATGTTTCTCAAAGACAAACATAATCACGTCTAACCAAATGCGCTCCACCCTTTACTCCAAGCCAACCTATTGGCCATAATAATAGTCCATATCTCAGCTTCTATAGCAAGGCACTGTCTAAAGAAAACATTTAAAGCTTCTAAGAAGAAACCTCAACAGTTCTGAAAGACCGCACATGCCCCAGCTAAACCATTCCTCTTAGCAACCCCATTCGTGTTAACTTTAATTCAAGCTGGCGGAGGAGCCCTCCAAACTACATAATAGATCTTATGAGTTTTCCTAGGCACAACCTCAAGATCAAAAGCTTTGACAGCAAGAAGCTCTTAAAGGGAGTTTCTCATAACACTAATCTTTAGCCTACCAATCTCAACCACCACTTGCTTAATCGTCATCCAAAGAAAACATAAACTAGGAACCACACCATAAAAAATAACCATGTTTCTCAAAGACAAGCATAATCACTTCTAATCAAATGCGCTCCACCCTTCACTCCAAGGCCAAGCCAACCTATTGGCCATAATAATAGTCCGTATCTCAACTTTTATAGCAAGGTACTGTCATTTCAACATGCTTTTTAATTCCTCTACCATTATTCAAAGGAAAAAAGGATCCTTTAAGATCCAAAGAAATAAGACCACCATCATTGATCATATTCATAAACTCAGAACAAGAGACTCTATTAGGCACATTACCTCCTTTCTTCTCATGAGCACCAAACACGGCATTAAAATCCCCTAGGGCAAAAAAAGGCCTATTGGAAGCACAAACCTACAAATTATCACTCCAAAGGATTCTCCTTTCACGAACAAAAACACTAGCATAAACACAACAAACTCTCAGACCCCCAACATCAAAAGTCACCTGTTGACAAGAATTCTTAACCAAAACCAGCTCCGCAAAATCTTTTTTAGACCAAACCACCCAAAGATTCCAAATCGTGCCCTCCCTAATATTGGTAAACCGAGGAACAAGGCTCAACCTACTCCAAAAGGCAGCAGAGATAGAACAAATATCCACCATAGGCTCAGACAAAATCAAAACATCCGGCTTATGTTGAAAACATAGCTCTGATAAAAAAATCTCGAGTAGGGAGATTACCAATATCCCCCGAATGTTCCAATACAAAATCTTCATTTTAGTTTAAGAGGGGTTTTAACAGCCCTCTTGGGTCTTTCTATTTTAGTCCCTTTTTTCCCTTCCCTTTGGTTAAACCCAGCTGAGCATTCTCATCTAGTTCCGAAAGAACCTCCCACGAGACGAACGAGAGACAAAATTAACCTCATTCTAAGCATTACAAGGAAGTTCTCCTTGCCTCACCACTGCTTTCATAACAGGATTCCCCACCGATGTCGAAACACTCTCCTATTAAAATCATGCAAAACATCGGCATGTAGCTATCGAAACGCTCTACTCTCGTGTCTAGTTCAAATTGATGTTTTCAACATATATGTAAATACAAATTCTAATTTTATTCTCTATTCAAATTTAAACTTTAACATTAGTTCAAACTGCAGTTTTAACCCTACAATTTAAATGAAAAAGGTTCAAAACTTTACATTGTATCAAAAGCGGTAATATAAAAAGGCAACTACTTCGTAAGATCCATATGATTTTTCAAGAAAATATAAAAAGTAATATTTGAAATAAGTTTGATAAAAAAAAAGGTTCTTCACAAAATTAACATTGAAGTTTTTCCTTGAGAAAAAATTACGTAAACCTCCCCAAAGTGTTTCTTCAATATATTTTTCATATGGAAGCTGATTTATAGTGTTTCAGTATTTAAAGAGCATGCGATTAGAATAGTGGAAAGATTCTGAATTTAACCTCGGAAATATTTTACGGTCGATTCTTTGGTACGCTTAAAGTATCGGTTGACCGAGTTTTTTTAACTGTTACATCTGCTTATTTTTGGACTCTTACGTGATTTTATACAGATCTAATAGATAAAAATTTAACTTATCGGTATGTTGACGTACAGAAAAATGTCATATATTAATAAAAAAAAAAGCCTTTGATTTTATATTTCTACATCCCAACAAAAGAAAACAAAGCAGACCATCTATTTGAAAAGTTGAAAATTAAAAAACAGGAAGGTGACGTTTGATTCAAGAGTTCTGTCTGGTTTAAGATCATGATTCTTAATTATGCTACAGTATTTTTCTCTTATAAAAAATTTAAATTTTAAAAATGAGAAACATGAACTATGATTTTGAACCCTATGAACTAAACATCACTGAAAAAAGAAAAGATTTTCGTGTTTGGAAAGCGTTTAATTTACCCCAACATGGGAAACTCCAATGTTCACTTTACCAAGTTACTACCAATCGTAAAACTCTTCCAAAAAAGAAAACATAAATCTCCTACTACAAATGGAACCCATCATATCACTCTCCACTTTGTATCGAAAATACTTAACCTCCGTTCATTTCACCAATTCGAGTTTTACTACAGTAAAAAGCTCTCAGAAACAGTCACATCTAACTTTTTATTACAGTAAAAAATTCTCACATAAAGTCACATCTTAACTCAAATCAGCGAACTAAACGAGCCCTTATACTCATGGTCAAACTTCAAATTTGATGTGCTCCTCTCTAAATATATATATATATATATAATAAATATAAAACAAACAAATTGACGAGCCGTCACCCTTCTCATGTCTCTTCACTCTTCTTCCGAGATACGCTCTCTCACAAATATCATACATACAGACGGACTCTGAAAACTATAAAAGTACAAAAGACTTTAAATTTGACCTGCCAAATAACGGACTCTGACAACTATAAAATTCGATTGTAATATGTTTTAACTTACTTTATGTATACTACAATCTTATTGGCTAGTTCACGAAGAAAAATACAAAATAAGAGAGACCAACTTTGTTGACTTAATTGAACATCTATAGAAAAATGGGTTAATCCATTAGCTAGTTCACAAAGGTAGAGACGAGCTTTAGAGAGAGTATGAGAGAAGCATATTTTAGAGAGAGAAGATGGGGGATATTGATTGATGGTATGTTTTTTTACTGTGCCACTTTAGTGGCATAAATGTTAGTTTGTATTAATTTGAATGGCAGTTCTGGTTTTCTCATTCAATATACCCTATCGTGGAATTCTGCAATAGTTGTATACAATATTTAGACAAAGAATCCCCCTCATAAATTTTAAATTTTCTGAGAGAAAAGGCGTTCTATAATGGAGCTTTAGTTTCTGGTTCTGCACTAGTATTGAAGCAACTCATGTTGTTATTGCACAAATCACGTGCATTCTGTAGAGATATTCTATTACCAAGTGCAGAAATTTCCATGTTATCAAAATAGGCATAATCCTATAATCTCGTTGAGGGAAAAAAAATCTGGATTAATGTCATTCTGGACTTATATAAGGACTGTCCATAAGAGGATCATGTACAAAGACTTACAAGAAAGCAACAAATTAGCACTGATTTTTAGCAAAAAGAATTCATACATGGAGTGGATCAGACCACCTTCTCTTCAGCTCCGATTTCCATCGAACTTCCTTCAGCTTTCCATCTACTCCATAATCCCGCTCCATAACAAGGTTGATTCCTTCATCTGAGTACCATCCAACTCCGATACAAAGGATACCGTCCTTTTTAACGTCGACATAGGCAGTAACACCACAAGGAAGCCAAAGCATGGTGACATCTTGCATATCCAGCATCTCTTCCTCTCCAAAGTAGATGGGATTGTCTGGCAAGCTCCTCTTCTTTAGAGTCTCCGTGCAAAGATAGACATAAGGAGAGCCATTGGTTTCCTCCGTTACCATGTCCTCGCCAAATACTGGTGTGGCACTTACCTCGAATACCTTCCAGGACCCTGTCAGCTGTGCCGGCTGGGTTCGCTTGTGTAGAGAAAATGGTTTTGCATTGAACTCCATGTCACTGGTTGTGGTTAAGTATGAAATCAGTTTCCACCGTTAAAATAGAAAAGAGTCAAATATATAATAAGGTCTGATAAAAAGATCTTGTCTAAACTCTTCACTAGCATCAACAACCAAGCTGCTTAAGCATAGGGAAATCGCAAATAGGAGAAATGGAAATATCACCTTATGATTGTGGAATATCAATTTATACGTATAGAACAGCTGAAAATCTAATTTTTTGGTATATGACAATATGGCAATGATTGAAGAATACCCTATAAATACAGTATTTGAAACCTAAGTGGAAAAATTGCAAAAGGGTACCTTTCATGATGAATGTTGGCCGGACTGATCCACTCTTCTTCATAAACAGCAACTCTCAGTATCTGTATGTCTGAACCGCCATTACTGAATTCTATAGTGTGAACAATGCGTAGCCTCATGTGGCAACCCTTGACCAAGCACTAAGCAATAAAACATTAAAAAGCAGATAAATTAATGACCATATTCGAGGTAAAGAAAACGATAGGAAAAATAAAGTTGGGGAAAAAAACTCGATGATAAAACATCGGCATTCTAAACATGATCTTGGAATTACTTTGATGAATTTGCAAAAAAAATATTAGAATGTATGATTGATACATATGAATAAACTGGCGGAATAACTATTATCAGCGGCATATATACATACAGATATATGCTTCCCGAGGCACAAGGTCCAAGTGATTCCCGCCTTTAATCCCTCCACAGTGTGAGAGATTAAAATTGGGTTTTTCCGAAAGATTTGAAATCCCTCACCCGCTCCATTTCATCTTTCCTCTCTGACCAAACAACCATCAGTCCCAGAATCTTTACACCAATCCCTTCACCACTCTCCCTCCTCCCACTTTTCCATCCTACCACACAATCTCTAAATGTAGCTCCTTAAAGAAGATCCTCTGTGTTGAAAAGATCCACAATTTTCTAAGAAGACATTATTACTTTTAGCTTCAGCAGCTTGTCTATGAGGACTGATTATAATGAAAATGACAAGCAGGAAATATAGAACTTTCATATTATCCAATATTCATACTCCAAGAATTCAGTTATGATCATCACATGGAATATCCACAATGTCACAATCAGGCTAGCGACAATTTTTCTCTGATAAAAGACCGTATAAATACATGATACTCGTAACAAACAGATCCAGTTTGAACACCACAACCACCTTGAATAATCATCTGGTATACAACCTTCTAAAATATCCAGTCCATGCCATAAAGACTTACTTGTTCAAATTTGAAAGTCGGTGAGACGTAATACTTTGAATCATCAATATCACCAACAGGAATATCAACAGGACCCCTGGAATATGATCCATCCTGCAAATTAATCAATTAGATAAATCATTAAGCTTTTGTATCCAATAAAACATACAAAACAGAACTGGTTAATTATTTAGACTTATCACACCTCCATGTATTCTTCACCTAGATATCCTTATTACAGGAAAAATCAATTAATCACCTACTATATTTTGTATATCATCTTGTAACAGAGAAGTTTGATCAGATTTAACAATTAACATCGATTGCAGTAAAACATGTTCAAGCTATTGTAGTACACAGAAAGCGAAAAGAGATAAGTTATTTGTATTTGTTGTTTGGGACTACAAAATGAGAAGGAACCTCAAGCTTCATGAGAAGCATAATGTGATGAGAACAAGGAAATACCCGTTAATACAATAGAACCTGCAAAACTCCTTAAAAAAATAAAAAAATAAAAAAATAAAAGAAAGAAAGAGGGTGAGGGGCTGCAAATCTGGTATTAAATCCTTGAAAAATAGTCCCTTCATGCTAAATCAGCAATATTTCATTAAAAACAAGAGATCACTATGCCTTTCCCATGCAGCAACAAAATCTCAAGGTCCACAACTAGTAGTAAACAATGCCACCACTTGTTTAGTAATCTTCAACTAGTCATTGAAGTAGGACAAGGCGGTTAAATTATACCTCAAAATAAACTAGGCCGGTTTCATTTTCCATGATGTCTTCTTCCATTACATCACTTCTCTCAAAGTCAAAAGAATCAAATTTTGGCAACTCCTTATATTTTTCAGTTCCTTCAATCACTGCCTTCGCAGAAAGGGATGCATCTCCATCTTTAATTCTATTGTCGTCTCCACTTTGTTGTCGCATCTCACCATAAGGATTCAAAGTCACCCAATTTATCTTCCTTTGTATTTGTGATGTCTTCCCTCCAGAAGATGGTGGAACGACTTCAATGTGGGAACATGTGTAGCAGTCATATAGATTTTCGTTCTTGTTTCCAATTTCAACTGGCTCCATTTCTGCAGTGATGGGTGAAAACACTGCTCCTACCCCCTTCCATATCCCACTAACACTGCTAGCAAAGGTATTCCATGCTGGTTTTATTACAGGTTCCTGAGAGGAAAAGGATCCTTATCGTTTAAATATTTAGTATGTGAAGAGAAGACTAGAACATGTAGAACTGAAAATACAACCAAAACTCACATCAGCCTCGGCATCATTTCATTTTCAACAGCAAGACATAAACACATGAACAAGTGGCTAAAAATACATCTAACTATCGTAAATTTCATAACAGTGTTCCTCCACCAAGGCTTAGTTTGGGATTGTTTTGATTCTAAAAGTTCTATTTTTCCTTATAGCAAAATGAGAAGTAGAAAACAAAAGTTAAAACTCCTAGCTCCTCCAAATAACTGTACAAGTGCATTGGTGTCTATGCAACGAACTTATGGACACTGTTACCAAGCACGCTACTTGCATCATGTTATGTGCGAAGGACTTTTGAAACCTTCAAAAGCAATAACAAACTGACCCTAACTACCAAATACAACTTCTAGGCTGGAGAACAAAAAAAAAAGAAAAAATAATAATAATCCAAAACCCGTAGCGCATTTATAGTATTCTCAAGCCCACCGTAAGCTTCAAACTATGATTTCAATGCTTTAAAAATAATGAAACCATCACATTTTTCAGTAACATTTTCAACTTTGCCAATTAGCTAATTACCCTGTTCATATTTCCATATTTCGAGACTCATTTTCCACACTACTGCAGCGTCCAAATGAAGAATATTCCAACGCCCGTCTACAAAGCAGATATATATGCATAAATACAACCAAAATGAATAAAGTTAAGTATAACAAAAAATCATAGCAACTGCAGCATTGTTTCTCCAATTCCACTAACTATGTTTATAGAACAGTTTAAACTCCATGAACTAACAAATATATCCTACTTGCTAGAACAGAGAGAGGGGGGGGGAGGGAATTCTAAGGCCCAACTTGAATCTTCTAATACCTGCAAAAATACCAAAGGCATGTACAGATTTCCATAATTTGGAAAGCAAACAAACATTTCACTTTTTAAACACGTGTTCAAGTTCCCCAACTAGCCGATTTTCCAGTTCATATCATATACTTTGAGCCTGTAACTTTCGAAAATTCCCAAAATCCGGGGAAAGCAAGAAAACATCCCACTTTCATAAGACATGTTCACGTTTCACAATTTGCCTAATTTCCCATTTCTTGTTTCTCATTTTTCACACTGTCCCAGAAACCAAAATGAATAACATTTCAACACCCATTAAGCTAAAAACGACATACAACACGCATAACCAAAGAAAAAAAAAATAAAAAAAAGGAAATTACCTGAGTTTGGAGAACGGTCTCAACCTCCATAAGCATGGCGCCAGAGACCATGACGACATCTCGGCCATCGTTACTTCTCTTCTTCTTCTTCTTCTTTAAAACTCTCTGTCTTCTCAAATCATTTCTTCTGTCTTTGGCCTTCGCAGCGAGCTCGTTGTCGACGCTCCAGACGTTTTCCTTCTTTCCCTTCACTGCTTCGAATGGCCGTCGTCCTTCCGGTTTGTACTTCTGGTGCTGAGAAACGACGACGTTTCTGGGTTTTGGATTTGGGAAATTGGAGACGAAGGAGAGAGACTGGAAGAGCTTCTGCGTGGCGGAGAAGGAGGAGGAGGAGGAGGAAAGACAGCACTGAAACCCTAATTGATGGTGGAGCAGACGGAGGGACGGTGAGGACATTGTTGGTATTTCCTGTTGTTTTTGTATGGGGGATAACTGAGAGACCAATCGAGTTATATAGACGAAACGACAACAAAATGGATTGGAATAGGTGGTTGTGGCAGTTAAAGTATACTGTGCCTTATAAATGGGCCGGATTGCTCTCATCTGGCCCAGAAATGTAGCGGATGGAGAGAAATGTTGTGCTTATTTGGAACCGTTTTTAAAAACGGTTTTTACGTCTTTTAAAAAGTAAAAAATAAAAATAAAAATAAAATCACGTTTATTTAGAGGATGTTTGGTAGATGAATTCGTTTCCTGATTCGAATCATGATTCATAGTTCGTTATAATATTTTCTCTCATAAAAAATTCACGTAAATCAAAAATGGTTCAAATCACATGATTTGAATCCTCCAACCAAACGTCATCTTAGTAAATATTTTAAAAATATAAATAAAAATAAAAATAGTAAAAATGATTTTTATGAATGAATAAGAAAATAATTGAAAGTTGTTTTTATTTTTTTTATTTTTTAATACTTATTAATAATATTATAATATATTAATTAATAAATATGATTTTACTTTTTTATTATATTCAAAACAATCTCTCAAAAAACCAATCAAATGTAATTTCAAAATCAATCTCAGGATAATTTTTAAAATAATCTCATTTTACCTTTTATTAAAAACAAAATCATTTTAAAACTAATTACACGTTGTTGTTTTTTTTTTTTTTTTGTTTCTTGCTATTCTCCTCTTTCTAATTTAGCTGATGTGTGGGGCACCAGTTGATCTTATTAGACCATCTCAATTCTCTTTCCATCTCTCTTGATTATGTTTTTCTAAGCTTTAAAAGCGAGAGCACAGAAAATTGTAGATTAAAAATTCAAATGGGCACGCCCAAGTCTGTGCAACTTATCATCTGTAGGGAGGATTGCAATGGATCACACTTATATTAATTGTGCAATTAAAAATTCAATCTAATAGCTCTCTAAATCCACGCTCGGAAACAGTCATTACAACTTCAATTGTAGATTTTACCCTGTACACCAATATAAAAGCGATTCTGCGGCATTTGTTATTGGAGTAATCAGAGGTGGACCAAGAAGAGAAGATTGAGCAAAAATTTAAAATTCTACATAGAGCTTCAGCAAAACTGTATGAGCTCTGAGAAAAAGTAGGATAAGTAGCCTATCAGACCAGACCCATCTCATAAGAGAAATTAAGTCATATATCATATCTGAGGAGAAAGAAAACAATACCTTTAAAAGTGCTTGGGTTAGGATTGATACACCATACTTTTAATTATTAACCTTTTTAGCTAAATAACTATACTAATAAAAATAAATTAATTAAAAAATATGAATAAAAATACTGACTAATGCAAATTCTGTAATTTTCGAAGTGTCCCCCCTTTAGTTTTCAAGTATCAAACCTTTGCTTTCATGGGCGCGACTTGGGCTATTGCTAACCCATGGGCCGAAACCATTGAGTCTAAGACGACAAGTCGTGGGTCAAGTCGAGTGGAAGAACGTGAAAGGGAGTTCATTCCTGCACTTTGCCATTCCATTGTACATATTAAATAGAAACAACAACGGAAATAGTAGAAAATATACCTATGAAAAGTTTAAGGAAGTATATAAGTCAAATTTTAGTTATAGAAATTAATAGGCCATAACTTGTTAAGTTATGGTTCATAACCATATAAATTATGGATAAATTTATCAAGTTATAGTTCATAGTCAGACAAATTATGAACAAAAACCGTGATTTATAGATAATAACTTGTCAAATTATGATTCATAACTAGACAAGTTATGGACAAAAACAGTAATTTAGCCTATTTATTAACTTATGCAAAGTATTAGCCTATTAATTTTAATTCATCTCAAATCTTGGCATATTTTCTTCTTTCTCCTTAGAAACAATTAGAGAATTTACCACTTTAAATACCTGAGTTATTAAAAATATTTTTTAAAAAGAATTATATCCCTTAATTAATTTTAATTTAAAAGATATAAATATATAAGTTAATATTATGAGGTAACAATAAAAAGAGATTTCATTTTAAGATATAGTTTTAAAAACTGTCCTATTAAATATGCTCACGTTGCTTAAAAAGAAGACCGGCTTTTTTATGTTTCTCAAATGAAATATAAACAAGTGCATGCTGTTTTTTCTTATACATTCACTCAACCTTTAATACATGGGGCTCCACCATAGTTTATTATGTAGACGTTAGGCACTAGATTCACATGTTTGTGCCCCAGTTGATAGTTCAATTCAAAATGGTCTTTTCCTATGACCAACTTTATAACTTTAACGAAAGTGGGTTGAATAGGCTTTAAGTTTTTAGTTTTGAAATTGCATTAATATTTAATTGATGCTTTAGATAAGTAAATAGTTAGTACATGAATCTATCTTAAGAACGTGGGAAAATTGATTGCCTTTTTGTTGAAATAAATTTATCGAGTGAGGCTACTCTAAACTTTAATCCCAGCTAAAAATATTTGGAATAATCAAACCTTCAAGCCAAGGTTTAACCCATTGACCTGAAAAACAAAAATCTCAAAATAATTTGTAATTTAGACATGAAAATTTTTATGTTTAAGATAATACTACATATGACAATTCTATTGTACGATATAAAATAATATTTGACTAGTGTTATAAGTTCTGAACAGTTAAATTGCATTAGAATCATATATAACAAAAGAAATATGTAAATTTAAGATAATTGTTTGAAAATTTAATAATCTGAAACTGTACAGTATGGTGAATTTTTATACTCTTGACTTAAAAAACTCATGTTTTATTCCTAAAAAAATAAAATCTCAAGTTTTATATATAGTGGAAAGGAAAAATATGGGTCCATTAAAACCAATACAGTGTCACCTGTCAAACTTTGACAGCTCAAAAAAGTTAGTGATCTCAATGATCCTTTTCATGACCCAAAAGATGTTTGGCCTGAAACCTAAAAGATGCCTCCCACAACCTTTTTCTTCCCTTTACTTTTGATCCATAATTGGATTAAGTGGAACAGAATTTTAAGGACTCGTTTGGTACAGTTACCTCATCTCATCCTCTTTAATTAAATATGGGTTTTGTTGTTGCCTCAAAAGGGAAACAGCTTTTTTCTCGTCTTTCATCCATGCCGAAAGGACCATTAGTTTTTTGGTCTTGTTCACTTCGCTGATTCGAGTTTAGAATTTGAGTTGAGATGTGATTTTATGTGAGAGTTTTTTACTGTAGTAAAAAAGTTAGATGTTATTGTTTGTGAAAGCTTTTTATTGTAAAAAAACTTGAATTCTAAACTCGAATCAGCAAAGTGAACGGCCGTCTCTCATGGGAAAATACCTCCAACTACTCTCATTACCCTTGTTACATTGCAGAAGAGAAAGAAAACTAGTTTATTTCTCCCTAAGGCAAAAAAAAAAAAGTTGCGTTACTTTCAAATTTAGCTCCCAAAAAATAATAGTTGTCAAAACTCCCTTTGAGCTTTGTCATATGTTTCAATTTTAGTGCTTTCATCCACAAGGCACAAATTTTTTAATAGTTTTAATTATATTTGAGTCACCGTACTACTTAATAAATAACAATAAAATAAGACAATAAGACGGTGGAGGTGCGGAGTTATAAGAAGATGTCACTTAAATTTTAGGATTAGGACTAAGAACAACGTGCAAATCTACTTTGATTAAATTTACTATGTTACGCTTTACCATACAATCACATGTCACAAGCATGATTAAAAAGTACAATTTATTATAAATTAAGGGTAAATTTTGTGTCATTTTGAGACCCGTAATTTAACTTGTATAGTGTGATTCACTACACTGCATTCACAGCTAGTTACAGCTAGATCCCAACTTCTGCGGAAGGGCATGGATTAAAGAAAAACGTACAATATTGAGGTGAAGTTTCTTTCTTGCCTTTTATTTTATTTTTTTTTAGTTCACTTGAATTACTACAAAAAGAAATAAAAAAATGCTAGATTCTATGATTATTAACTTTGGAAGCACATGGATTTAGCAGAATTTAATTCTAAAATCGCTGAGGTTGGTTGTACTAAAGAAATATGCATAGTAATATCCAATGAATTAGGCTCACGGCATGCATGTTGTTAAGCAAGATTCAATGCCAACACATCATAGTTTTCGGTGTTTACAATTACAAGGGAACATTAATGTGTTTTTTAATCCTCATCACCTTGAAGATAACACCCAGGTATGGCTGCATTCGTTATACAATTAATAAACTAAACTATTTTGTTCACCTATGAAACCATAATTAGCATTTCTAAGTAGTTTTCAGTTATATTCTTATTATATTATAAATTATAATTCCACAACTATTCTTTTTCTTTTTATAATTAAAGTATACACATCATATGAACACATGGATATTTGTGTCCCACATTAACCTTTTCTTCTCTCTCTTAAATCGGCAAGCAAGGGTCTGTATAAAATAGAATTGCACACAATAATCAAAGGGTAAGGAAATATATATATATATATATATATATTCATATTTGTTATAAACACTGAAATGAAAGACTTATCACTCGCAAATTTAATTTTGACCAATTCAAACCGCATCAGAAGAGTTTTTCGATTTATGCTCGACAGCATAGTTATGAGAAAACAAATGTTTATAGTTCTTATAGGAAAAGTAAATTTTTTTTACTACAATAAAAAGTTATCACATAAAGTCACATCTCAACTCGAATTAAAAACTCGAATCAGCGAACTAAACAGACCTTAAATCTTCCAAGTTCCAAGAAAAAGAATTAAAAAAAAAAGAAAAAAAAAACTTCTTTTGATAGAGAAATGTAAGCTTTTATAACAGCATGCTAAATTTTAAGATGAGTTAATTAGGGTAATTTGTAGGATTTAGTCATCTTGGATTAGACCTACGTTCCAATAAGATTGATTTAATATGTCACACACCCTTAGACTTTAAAATTTATTTTATAAGAAAAAAATAACATTACATTTATCATCCAAAACTAAACACAGCAAAATGATGTTTATCTACACAATCTGAGATAAGTTTTTTACTTTTTTTTTTTTTTTTGAAA